TATATTAAAGACTTGTGTGGTATGTATCTAAATTTTCCTAAATTTAATATTAGATTTTTTTTCTCTACAACTTTAGATTGAAATGTTCTGTCATTCTCTTGTGCCATCCATGATAAGATGAAACCTTTTTCACAGCTATCACATCCACTGTATTTTCATTTTTTGGTTATTTCTAGCTTTTTTTGGCCTCCTTGCATTGGCCCCTTTTAGGGCACTATTCAACAGTCTTGGTGTGAGTGACGTTTGATCAGTCAGTAGAAGCAGTAGTCTATTTCTTTGCATCTTCTCTTTCTTAAATTTTTTTTCTTTTGGCTTATAATTTTTTATAGGACTTTATCGTTTCTTGTTGTGGCTAATTTGGATCTTATCTGCAATGGAAATGGCCTTTGAACTTGCCATAGTCGAATATTCTTCTGGTTTAGACAATTTGATGTCTTTTGCAGAATCATTAGGACCTTTTTTGTTTCATTTTTTATTTTAAATTCATTAATGATGGAGATTTTTATAGACAATGGCTCACTAGGCTTTAATGGGGGCTGTTTTTGGTTTTTCTCATTTAATTTCTGATAACCTATAGGCAGGAATTTATGCTGCTATGATAACCCTTGATCTGTAAAAAAAAAAAGATGTAGTGCTAGCATTGGTTTGATATTAGAATCCATATATTGGGTTTGGTGTAAGGTGGCTGAATTTCTATCCTTCTTCCTTAAGCATTGATTTGATACTTTTTAAGAATCGTCATCCTTAACCTCGAGAAATGCCCCCTTGCCATAGAGATCATGCCTAGTAGAGGAATATTCTAGTTTAGAGAATTTAGTCTTCTTTGGAAAGTCATCTACTACTTTGGTCATTTGTATTTTAATTTTATGGTTAACATGGTCTTTGTAATCTTTTTACAATGGAAGATTCAATGGTCTCATTAGGCTCAGAGGATTTTTTGTTTTTCCCAATTTTTTTTTCACAAATTGCACGCAAAAATCTATGCCATGATAGTACTTAAATCTATTGCTAGTTTTGATTCGATATTAAACTGTCATATATTTGGTCTAGAAGTGATGAAAATGAGAATCTCTTTCCGAGATGCAAAAAGGGGTGTTGATGTTTCAATCATCAATACTGAACTTAAACCATTAAACACATGTAGAAGCTAATCTAGGTTATGGATTTAACCTATATTATGAAATTGAATATAAATTGAAACCATCAGTTAATTGGATGCTTGCAGAATGCATTGCTTGGCCTATTATAATACGATGAAATTTAGTTTTTAAATTTTCCATACTGTACTCAAATTTTATTAAATATGAGATTAGTGATGAAAGTATGGTGTATAAATGAAGCATAAGGGACACAATTTTGCATTAAGGAGATGAAAATTAATGAATTGCAAATTAAGAAGTTTTAGAGTCTTATCAAACTTTTTGAGGTGGAGGGAGGAAGGATTTCCTTGTAGTCTTATATTTCCATCCAATTCCCGGTGACTATTATTTGAATTAATTCGTTTTATGTAATAACCTTATTATCTTTAGTCTCTCTTTTAATCCTTCAACTTAGCTCATGTTTAAACATTTTATTGTTGCATTTTATAGTCTTGGTTGAATGTTAAGATTAACTTTTTTTCAATGGATGCTTCTCTTGCTTTGTCTTGACAATCTTTTCTTAGCCTAGATTTTATAGTTCACAACTATCTAAAACATTCACCTTCAGGTTTTCATGATAAAATTTACCTACAGATGTTTGTAAATAAAGTATAAATATATTTTAAATTTTTATATTTGTTTTAAGAGTGATGAAATCCAATATAAGTAGGTTAGTTTTTGTCCATAATGTGATTGTGTTGATGCAGGTTTTTTCTTTTACGTATATATCATAATTAAGAAAAAGAACATTTGGACCACTTTTTAAATTCAACCAATGTAATCTATATACCTATATATAACTAGAGTGCCATTAACTTTCATAGTTTTCTATTTTTCCCTTGATGGATTTCTTTCATGTCAAATGAGTTTGACATCTTTTACATTTTTTTTTCCTCGTACGATCACATTTCATCTGTGGAGGACATGTGGTCATGATGAGTTGATTATTGTTATTTTCTCTTTGCCTTGCATTAAAATCTACTCGCATTCCATTTTCTTTATTTTTCACAATAATTTTTTCTTATTTTTTAGGATTTTACGTGTAGTTAACAAGCATTCTAGTATGATTTAATATTGGAATAGTTAGCATTAAAAGTTATTGGAAGCTGGAAATTAGAAAAATAGAAAGGTAAAACTATATTAAGTAACACTGATGAATTACAATGTCTCCTATTTTCATTTGTTGAATAAGTATATGTCGATCGTCAAGTAAGCCAATATTTCAACTGCCCAATAGTTTTATAGCATCAAAATGTTTTCGAATGATCTCAATTTTTGGGTGATCATAAAGAAATTTTCCCACTGGAGCAAAACACCAAGAAGACGCGAGATTATTTGTTTTAATCTCAGTGAGAATAAGAGCAGACTCCCATTTTTTTTACCAAATTTTTTAATAAAAGTATGATCACCACCACCTTCAAGAGCCTCGTGGAAAGATTGTGAAACATTACAAGACTTGTCAATGCGGAAACCAAATTCTGAGTCTGAGAGCCTCGTGAAAAGATTGTGGAACATTACAAGACTTGCCAATGCGGAAACCAGACTCTGAGTCTGAGAGAAGAGCACGAGTAGGTATAGGAAAGTCGTCGGCAAGTGCAGTGGCATAAGAACGGATCGTCGAGGTCATCTTCAGAGCTGCTAAGCCTAGAAAAGCCGCTAGAAAAAGGCGAGCAGACTTTGGGGAAATTGTCTGTCGAGTAGGGCGAGAGAGGCGTCGTCGAGTACGAGAGAGACGGCGCGAGCCGCGACGGCTAACGAGGAGCTCTGAGCGAGCGTCGTTGACTGTGGGTGGGGAAAGACGACGCAAGCGAGCGACGTCTGATTTCCGGTTTAATTTTTCGACAATTGGCACAATCAAACTGGCATAAGCCTCTATGAATAAACTGGCATGACTATGAGTAATATGTGTATAATTTTTTATACTTTTCCCCTTTCTTATTTGATTATAAGAAAGTTTAAAGCTTGTGGTTTATCTTTTTTTCCATGTTTTTCTTGGAAACGTGGTTGTTTTATTATGAGGTTCATGATTCATATATAAAGTTTTTGTTTATCAGTTAGTCTTGATGATTTTTTTCTTTTTTAAACGTATAAAGAAATTTATCTATATATATATGTGGATTTTGACATTATGTTGAAATTAATTTGGTTATCTTCTGCTATCTTTGAAATTGTTTAGTAAACATGTTACTATCTATTTTTTCCCCGTTTTTATCTTAAGCAGACACTTTACAAACAATATGTTTCAAAAAAAATTTTTTTGCTATATAGCTAGAAGTTCAAAGTAATTACTTTTTCTGAAATCAACCTCATAAATGTCACTGTTTTTTCTTTTGTTCTAAATTTTTATTCTCTCAATTGACAAACTTTTATCTTGAATAAAATTTCCCTAAACTTTATCATTCTTCTAAATATACTGTTCAACTGAATGCCATATGGCTAAAAAGCTTATTGATTTCCGGTTTAATTTTTTGACAATTGGCACAATCAAACTGGCATAAGCCTCTACGAATAAACTGGCATGACTATGAGTAATATGTGTATAATTTTTTATCCTTTTTCCCTTTCTTATTTGATTATAAGAAAGTTTAAAGCTTGTGGTTTATCTTTTTTTCCATGTTTTCCTTGGAAACGTGGTTGTTTTATTATGAGGTTCATGATTCATATATAAAGTTTTTGTTTATCAGTTAGTCTTGATGATTTTTTTCTTTTTTAAACGTATAAAGAAATTTATCTCATGTACTTTATTTAAGATAATAATGCGTAAGTTCAATTACAAGTTTTAAACTCACTTGGGGAATAAGATAATTTTGTCATGCCATGTCTACCAGGTCTCAAATTCTGCCTATTATCCTAGGGAAATTGCACCATTTTTTTTTTATCATTTTGTACTTGTTATCTTAATTTTCAAAATTAGCTGTGCTCTCCTAGAGACTTTATTATTTTACTTTGTGGATGATATGTTCCACCAGTAGAATGATGTTGAATGGTACCCGTCACCTTTATTTTCTCCCTAGCAAAGTTTACAGTACCTTCCCATGTTATGTTTAATCCGTTCTACATGCAGATGCAGTTCACGCATCTTTTCCAACTTAGAAGAACATAGTTTAAATTCAAGTAAAGCAACTTACACCCCTGTTGTTTTTAAATCCTTTACGTAATCAGGATGAATGATCATGTAGAGCTTACAGATAACTTTTAGGGGCATTTACATACATACCACTTAATTCTTATGTATTTACATATTTAATACCTAAACTTTTACATTTATGCCACTTAAATCTTTCATATCACATCAACAATACCACTATTTAAATATTTAAATAGCAAAACACACTTTTTTATGCATAGGAACGGTGACTTATATATAAAAATTGAAGCATAAGTGTTAGATATGTAAATACATATGAATCGAGTGGTATGTATGCAGTTCTTCTTAATTTTAATATGAGAAGTGCCTGTGAGACGTTTTAGCTGTTTTTTTGCAATTGTCTTTTTCTAAATGGCTTCAGAGGTGGCATGTGCTTAATGCTAAATGTTTGTTCTATATTCATATTAAGTTCATTTTTTTATATTTTTCGCTTTACCTCATCCATTTTGCTCATATTTTTTTCCTGCATGCCATAAGTAGCTTATATATATTTTTTTCCTGCATGTTACGTGCAATGCTAAACATTTTCTTTGTTTTAATTTTCTACATTATTTACTTCTCTTTTATGATAGAAATCATGTTGAAAAACTGCAAAAATCTTTTTATGGTTTTAAATCAACTGAAACTGTATACTATTGTGCTTCGATCTTCTACAATGATTAATTCTTTGTTCAGCACTAGAAATTAATATCTACTGATCTGTATACTCGCAGCCTGGATTTGGATACCAACAGCAGCTTGTTCCTGGGATGCGGCCTGCTGGAGCTCCAATGCCAAATTTTTTCGTTCCCTTGGTACAGCCCGGTCAACAGACCCAACGACCAGCGGGTAGGCGAGCTGGGGCGGGACCCATGCAACAGAGTCAGCAGCCAATGCCTCTACTTCAGCAACAGGTGGGTAGTTATGCTTAAATATTTAAGCCGTTTACATACCACACAATTCTCGTGTTTTTACACAATTCTCGTGTTACTCATATGTACATGCATATCACATAAATCTTTAACCACATTAAAAATACCACTATCAATACATTTTTAAAAGTGAAATATGCTTTTTGATGAATAGGTTTATGACACCAAGGTGTTTATAAGTGTAAATATCAAACTTTGGGTGTTAAATATGTAAATGTATAAGAATTGTGTGGTATGTATGTAAATCTTTGCTAAATATTTTACTTGACTGCGCTAACTTTCAGTATTCTGACTACTCTAGTTGATTTATTTTGATCATTAGCAGCTGACCAGCTGTATCATGTTTTGCTTTGTTAGTGTTTTGTGGTTTGGTTCTATCTCAGGTGCCATAAAGCTTCACGACTAAAATTGGATGGATCGTGAAAGTTTATTTTTACGTCTTAGTTATTTTTTTTTTTTCGCAACTTATGTTTGAACTATTTTAATGCCTATAAAAATGTTCAAGGCTATATATTAATTCATTGGGACTAATCTGCTAATGCTTATTATCTCATTCTATTTGTTTGATAGAGGAAGGCTGCCAATTGAAATCATGAGGCACCAGTTAGTGCAGTTATGAAACTGTTTTAAAGGAAGACAAGAAGGGCATTTAGTCAGGGTGGGCCTGTTGGGCTTTTACCATTGTTCAGGGTCACAGACTTTTTTTTTTTTTATCTAATATTGACTTCCACAATGTACTATTAAATATAGGATTCAGTTATCACCCGAAATACTTGATATAAAATCTAGTAAACATTAAAATTGATTTGCTTCATTTGAAAATGCTCGGTTGAAATTAATAGGATTCAACTTGGAATCATCTCATTATATGCATAAGCATACATGCATATGTGCCCACACACATATTATGTCTTGGGGTTTGTTTGGGATGAATTTTATTTTTTGTTTTTGATTTTAATTTCATACTTGGGTTTTAAAAACATGTTTATTTGAGTGTTTCCAAAAACAATCATATCTTAAGGCCTCGTTTGAGATCACTTTTGTTTTTTTGTTTTCTATTTCTTGTTTTTATTTTGTTTTATTTATGTTTGATTTGAATGAAAGTATGTTTGGTTGTGATAGTTGTTTATAAAAACAGTCTAAATATCTTTCAGAAGTTTTGAGTTTTTTTAAAAACAAATCTAATATACAAAAAATAAAAAACACAACAATTATACTATCCAAACATGTTTTCAATAACAGAAGTAAAAACGAAAAACAAAAATAAAAAAAAATGTGTCAAATGAGCTTTATGTCAAATATTTTTTATTTCCAATTAAGATAAAAAAAATAGAAAACTAAAATTAAAAGTGTTCACCAAATGGACTCAAGTATACACCTCACCTAATTCGACAATATAAGCAGTCCATTGCACATTTTTGGGATTTTAACCTGTATTCTTGCATTCGTTGGATTTACCACAGATGCTTCCTAGGGGACGAGTCTATCGTTATCCTTCGGGCCGCAGTATGCCCGATATGCCAATGCCTGCTGTTCCTGGAGGAATGCTCTCCGTCCCTTACGACATGGGCGGCATGTCCATCAGAGACACGACCTTATCGCAGCCTATTCCCATCGGTACATTGGCTTCTGCTCTCGCAAATGCTGCACCTGAGCAGCAGAGAACGGTATCATTCATTCCATTACTGAATTTACGAGCTCAAGTCAATCAAAGCTTCAGTTTCCATCTACGCTGTGAGCTCAAGTCAATCAAAGCTTCAGTTTCCATCTACACTTTTCCTGCACATTTTATCTCATTTGTTATATTTCAAGAGGCATTTACATACCTACTTGCCACCAAATTCCTATGTATTTACATATCTGACATCTTACTTTTTTATAATTATACCACCCAAATCCTTCATATGACACTACCATTTCAACTTTTAAAAAATAAAATACAGATTTTCATTTATAGGCAACGTGGCATGCGTTGGAGTGCAGATGTTAGATATGTAAATTACACATGAATGGAGTGGTATGTATAATATAAATATTTTCATTTTTTTAATGGCTCATACAGATGCTGGGTGAAAGCCTGTACCCGCTCGTCGAGCAACTGGAACGTGACTATGCGGCAAAAGTGACGGGGATGCTGCTGGAAATGGACCAAACCGAGGTGCTGCATTTGTTGGAATCACCTGATGCTCTGAAAGCCAAAGTTGCTGAAGCCATGGAAGTCTTGAGAAATGTTGCCCAGCAACAGCAGCAACAGCAGCAATCAGGTAATGTGCCCTCTGATCAGTTGGCTGCTTTATCTCTGAATGATGGCTTTGGTCCCTGACGTTATTAATTGTTAACTATTGTTAGTTCATGATTTATAACTGGTTTTGTTTTTTATTAAGGGTGAATTTGTCAACTCTGTACCTGAATTCTGTGCTGGATGTGACTTATTATTTTTTTTTTCGCCTGTGGATTTCTTGGTGGTTTATTTTATGAGACTGTTTAAAAACTTGACATTTATTTGTCACGTTTTAGAATTTGGTTAATGTAGTACTGTTTTTGGCGTGTTTTATACTTCTGTCTGGTTTTTGTGTTTGTTTTATGCTTCCCTTTCAGCTATTAATAGAATTTTCGGTCTGTTGGATCAAGAAACACGTCAATTTAAAAATAAAAAGGGAGAATTTGGAAGATTCTGTTTCGGAAATGTTAATCTTTTGCAATGTTTTGTTTTCACAATTATTTTTCTTATTTAATAATGTTGCGATTAGGGGTGGCTCATTTGTATTTTGAGCTCTAAAAGTGTGTTCGTGTTTGGCTCGTTTACTTAGCGAGTCGAACACGAGCCGTTAACGAATAAAGTGTCATTTTGACAACCCTAATCACGTAGCCATAAGATGATAAGGATTGGGGAAATACTTGTGTTTGTTTTATGCTTCCCTTTCAGCTATTAATAGAATTTTCGGTCTGTTGGATTAAATTTTTAGAAAATGTAATTTTTATTCTATTTTTTTTATTAATACTTTTAAATAATTATAAATTTTTGAAGCTTTGTAGTCAATTAAATTTTTAGAAAATGCTACTCATCAAAGTTATATATATAATTGATTAGTAGTATTTTGAGTCAAAACGAGCCGAACACGAGCTTTTTAACAAGCAGAACATGAGTTGTTCGCGAACAACGGGCTGTTTTGATAGCCCTAGTTGTGATTATGAAGTCCTTGTATGAAAAATGACAAATGGAATCCAAAGAATTAGTTTTCATTGTTTTTTTATTTTTGTTTTTTTGTAATATCCGACTTAGCGCCTCAAAGTTGAACAATATCTTGATCCTCTTCTTCTGAGCTCGTTGGGCCGTGCTACCTTACCTATCACCAGTGTCTATCTCGTATGATAAGAGGATTAATGGAGGAATATATCTATTTTTTCGGAGATTTACGCATATTTACTACCCAATTGCTATGTATTAATGTATTAATCACTTTTACCTACGAATCACCCAACATATGTTGAAAACATGAGGATCGGACTAGGGCCGTAAATGGGCCGAGTTTGAGCGAGCTCAGGCTTGACTCGCGTTCGGCTGGTTCGAAATTGTTTGTGTTCGAAAACAGCTCATGAACAGTGTGTTTGTGTTTGACTCGATTTAAATATTCGTGTTTGTGTTAGGCTTTTGTTCGGCTCGAAATTGTCTCGTTAAAATTAAGTTGAAAAAATAGATGTAAAGTGCTGGATTCAAACTTGAACCAAATGTATGCAAAATAAGATGGAGAACTACATTACAACAAGAGCAGTTACAATTTAAATTTAAATATAAATATATATAATATATTCTTATATTAATGTGTGTAATATATTATTATATAAATAATTATATCTTTTTTTTTTCATTTTGAGCTAAAACGAGTCGAACACAAGCTAATAAAAAGTTGTTCATGTTCGGCTTGTTTGCAATTCGAACTTTAAAAACTTGTTCGTGTAAACGTTACACGAGCCGAACACGAGCTGTTCATGAACAACGAGCTTTTTTGACAGGCCTAGATCGGACTCCTATTGTATGCCACTCCCATTTCTATTATACAAACATAACCCCATCAAAAGAAGAATGATAAATGTTAATTGATGGTGTCAAGTCCCCATTTGTATCAGAAGAAATGATTTTGTTATTGATCCAAAGAGGCCTGTTGATATGGCTAGCATCCTTAATAACATATTATATTCTTCACAAAATTATAATAAATTTTGTGAAGAATATAAAGAATGTGATTACATGTTGGCTTGTAATTATAAAAACAGATAATTGTTCACAAATTATAATAAGTTGTACATCATAGCATGCGGTTCATTCATTTTTCTTAGAAATCTTAGATCTTGGACTTACTAATTTAATATTTAAGTTGTATGTAGAAGCGTTGACATCTAAATGTAGTCATGTAGCTAACTCTTAGGCATGGGATTGGCTTATCGATTACTGGTACCCCAGCTAGTAATCTCAGAGAGGGACCATATTCTTAAGAAAAGGTGTGTATTAATGACACTAATAATCAGAAGCACTTAATCATGTCAGAGCATATGCCATTCATTGAAGGCATGTGAGCCACTAACGAGGGTTTATAAAATTTGTACTAGGCCTAAAGTAAAGATAGACTTTGATTTTTATAGTAGTGTTTAAATGGGGCCAAAGTGGCTGATGTAGAACATCAAGCTAATTTGAAAGCTTCACTATATGATCAAGATCAAGATCTAGAATATGGGATTAAGAGATATTATTATCATGCATGGATAAAGAGATTTAATATGAAACTCAAAAAATGTATTTAAAAATTTAATATTAAGAGTTTAATATATATTTTTTTTAATTTTAACCTTTAATTAATAACTTTAATATGAATTTTTTTTCCTTTATTATGAATAAATTTAGGCTTATTTATAAAATATTTGGGTTGGCCACCCATTATTGGGAGAGAATTGGAGTTAAATTGGAGTTATTTTATTTTACTTTTTTATTTATAATTTAATTTATCTCTCCATTTGTTTATTTATAATTTTTAACATAATATATTAATTATTGTTAAAATGGATGAGAAACTAATTTCTTTTATTTAAAAGAATTTATAGAGTTAATCTTTGGTTGGGAGCTTGGTGGTTGATCTCCTCTTATTTGGTTTCTTATTAGAGGAAGACTCGAGCAATCTTATTTATCTTCATGATCCCTCACTTAATCTATCATAAAAAATTCTTCTATTTTCATAATATAAGCTTGAAATATTTCCTGAAGTCCCAAACTCCTAAATAGAATCTAAAGCCCTTTTGAAATTGGCCAAAATATTGTCACTCCTAATCTAGGTTTGGCCCTCCTTATATGATATCCATTAATAAGCTTGGATCTCCACTACATAATCCAAATTTAATCTCCACTAATTCCATAACATTATAAAGTCATTCTAGCTTTTAATTGCACCCTTAGTCTCTTTCATTAAGACTACATTTTAGGACTAATAAAATCTATCCAAATTAAGTCATCTTGACCTATTCTTGGTTTTTATCCATCCTTTAACTAATAATTTATATAGAACTTTACTAAATACCGTAGAGTACATATAGAAACATTAATCAAACTTTCTCAGGTGGTTATATGTCCGGTTTGTTTCACCTTAACAGAATGTAGTTTCAATCCTCAAAGGGAGATCTAGGGTTGGACATGACCTAACCATTAGCCAGATCTCCTTAACTACAAGAATTTTTTAGATATTCTTAGCCCTCATTTCACTAAACTAGTTTAATATTTCAGTAAAAAATAGTAGAATGAAAATTTATATTAAAGACCTGACCATTACAATCATCTATAAGAATCTCGCTATTAATGAAATCTATGATTTTGGATTTGTATCTTTGTGTAATACTATTCATAAGTACATCATTGAACACTTGGTCAGTAGAATAAAAAAGTTTACATCTCAAATCATCAACCTAACTTTGATGCCTTTATGGAAAAGCACAAAAGTTTTAGATAATTCTAATACAAAACTTATTATTTAGATTCTAAATGTTTTAAAACCAGAATTATGCATATTTTTTTTTTGTTCTTGAGTGAGCCTTAAAAAATATTTAATTAAGTTAATATAAATATTTTTTTTCCATACACTTTCTCTTATTGTTTTCTCTTCCATTGTTTATGAAGTGGTTATCTACCACCATCTCCTTCATACTTTATTATGTTATTATGAATGGTTAACTCTATAATTACTTTCAATCAACTAATTATGATTGGAGGTTGGGTTACCCTTCATCTTTGTATTTATTTGCTATCATTAGTAATTTTTCTAATATAAACAATGAGTGTTATAAACTGATTCTAACTTTTATCTACTAATGTTCTCTATTAACCCTCTTCTAAAATTCAAGGTCTAATTTTGCTTGAGTCAATTTGAATAAATAAACTATAGTTTCTTCTTTATAAATTTAACTAAAGCCCATAATTTTTCCATGTTATGTAGGTTTAAAGTTAATATTATTTAATTCCTTTTTGAGGGGATACTTGTATCAAATACTGACTTATGATGGCTGATTGTTAACCTCATTTTGATAAATTAAGCTGTTAAATTATGAGATAAAGATATTGACTATTTTCTTTCATTAAACTGATGCGGGAGCAACCTAAGAGAAGGTTTTGCAATCATTGCTACAATACTTCTACAGCATTGCGACTCCTGTAACTCGCTTGCTTGCCTGGACTGAAATGGTCTGATCTTTCTCTACTATAGAAGTGCTGACCAGTTAATGGGTCGAATCCTAGCTATCATATTATTATAAATTCATTTCCATGGGAGTTTACGGTTAGTTTTTTGTGTGTTTTGTATCGGGACAACGATCGACATTTCTTCTTTCATTTGAGGGCTGCATCCTAGGGTTTCAAGTGTTGTTTCAACTAAATCTTGGTTTCTAGGTGGTGATTATTTTCCGAACTCCTTTCTACCTCCCTTTCTATTTACTACCATGCCTTCCTACTTGTTGTAACCGCCTTGAAATCAGTCTCATTGCTATCTTCTTATAGTTCCTTGCAATCTAGCCATCATTTTCACTGCTGCAGCCCTTGAATAGTCCTTCTTTAATTGTAGTCCTACACCTTCACTACCACTACTGTCGTCATCCCCACTTGTTGTCACGTCACGGAAGTAGCCACACGAGATATTTTCTGATGTTCTAGCCACCCGTACAACTATTTCCCTCATTTCAGCTTGCTTCCATTGTCACAACTCCTCCCCTTATTGTTTTCCTACTGTTCAACTGCCTTAACAACCAATTGTTGTTGTTTGAGTTTCCGCCCCTTGTTGCCCTGTTGTTCCAACCACTCCCCTACCTTGTTGCTACCTCGTCAGGCCTTCTAACCATCACCACATCACCCGGGATCTGCCCTAATATGAGTTTGAATACGTGTGTGTTTTATTTTCCCTTTAAAGTGTGTTTAATTGTAACTGCCTATTTGCTTTCAATAATAATATTTATTTAATTTGGTTTTGGTTAACTTTGTATCAGTGGGTTTAGCACTTTAAAGCTTTTTTGTATAATTACATCACTTAATAGTTTATATCTATTTGCACACCTATGGTTGTTGTTAAAAATTCAATATCTTGATGAATAGATTCCTTTATGATAATGGAGCTACGAGGAAGTTACTTATAACTCCTTTGTAAAGGCTATTAGGCTTACAAAAAAAAGAAAAACCTAGGCTTCTTGTCCCCGTCCCATCTGAATATCACTTGAAAAATGAAGAGAATTTAGATTATTTTCATCAACTTAACCCTCTTATTTCTTCATGGTGGAAAAAGTCTAATAATTCTCATTAGGCTCCTCTATGGGGTTTTCTATGCAACAAATATTATAATATTTGACTAACTTAAAAGCTTCTTATAATATTATCAAAAAATTAGATCAATTTTATTACAAATATTAAGTAATGAATTTTAATTTTATCTTTCACTAAATTAGTGTCCGTTTTAAGATACAATTCATCAAGAATATACCTTTCACTTATTTAAAATACCATCTAATCTTTTTTTTATATAGGATTATCCATGATAGTTTTTGAAACTCACATATGACTCTTTAGGAGTTTTTTAAGTATTAAAATAAAATTTCAATCACAACTATTTTTAGTGGGGGAAAAAAAATCTTGGTGAAACTACAAGGATTGCCTCCTTGAATGATGCTAAGAATAATTTATTTTGTATAATTCCAAAATTTAATTGGTATGAATTGATTTATTACAAAAGATAAATCCTAAAACACCCCTGACTTTGTGTAAGAAGGCGATAAGCAAGCACCATTTGTGGATTCTCTATTTTCTATTAGAAAACATACAACAATTCGAATGCTCTTATTATGTGGCTCATTCTTAGTATTCTTCTATTTGGCTCCCCCTTTCCCTTCAATACTTAGTGCTTTCATATATAGACAATTACGACAATAATTGTATGACCTACAAGTTTTATGTGTTACTTGTTGGCATCCTCATTACCAACATCTTGAAGGAAAGCAACAATAAAATTCACGAAGCAATGCTCTTGGAGCCTAAATGTCTCACTCAGTGTATTAAATGGTAAGTCAAATAAAAGTTGCTTAGATGGAAGAATGCTACAATGTAGAATGATGAAATGAATACATTCTTTAGCAATTAGCAAAGAATTTTTTTTTGGGTGCTACACCTACTATTATATGCTATCTTCTTCCATATCATGATGCTAATTTCAAGTGCTTTAATTGTTACTTTTGAGATTCAATCATGTCTGCACCACATGCTAAATGATATGAACCTTTTTGTGATAGGTTAATTTCTATTGGGCCCAAGACCATTTCTTCTGTGCCTTATTTTTAGGCTCATCTTTTTGGACCATAATTAGAGAGCTCAGCGAGCGTCCCACTTTTACTGAAGCTATATCTATCATAATTTTTTGACCTTTGCGTCATACGACTATTTTTTATGTCCATATTTAGGGATTTTTTTGTCAGTTAAGATTTTTTTTTATATTTATTTGTAATAACAATTATTTTTCCCTAACGAATTTTTATTTTTATTGAGATTTTAATTAGAAGATATGCCAATTACATCTTTCAACACAGTCTTTTTTTTTTTTTTTGCACATTATTACATCCTTTTCGCTTTGTAATATACTTTAGTCTAGACTCTTAATTTCCAAAGAATGTACCAACCCATTTAAGATTTAAAAGATGTACTCAAATATTAAATCTTAGGTCATTAGTTAGTATATTTTTATGGTATTATTTGAAAATTTTAAAATATATTAGGCCTCATTAGAATACAAATATAGCTTCATCTTAAATAAATTCATGAGTATCATTCACTCCTAAAATATTCTAATGCAAAATGATATTTTTATTCTTTTTTATCTAAAATACAGCTTAATATAAGATTCACTTTTTTATTTACATAAATTATCAACAAAAAAAAAAGCATGATTCTCATAATGAATATAACATTACACCAAATCTAGACTAATAATGGTAGATGAGAATGAATTCTCATTCATCATTGTTGAGTATCCTATAAAATTAATTGTGGCTAAATTTTCTCTATCTCTGACTAAGCTCCTTTAATAGAGCATTTAAGAAATCAATGTGGCAAGAGCTTTGCCACGCAGATGGCTGGTAAGCCTTATATGCCTCTCTAGAACTATTTTTATATGGCGGCATTTACACATGCCACACAAATTTGTGGCTAAATTTTCTCTATCTCTGACTAAGCTCCTTTAATAGAGCATTTAAGAAATCAATGTGGCAAGAGCTTTGCCACGCAGATGGCTGGTAAGCCCTATATGCCTCTCTAGAACTATTTTTATATGGCAGCATTTACACATGCCACACAAATTTTATATATTTACATATCTAAGATCTAACCTTTCATTTTTACATAAAAGGCCACTCAAACTCTTTGATGTTACATAAACAATATTAGTTTTTCATGCATAAAGTTTAACATGTAAATTGTGAGAGAATATTACATCAGGACTCCGAACGCAGTTTGCGTTTGGAGTATAATTGTGGGGCGCCACGTGTCAAGTGGGTTCAACCGTAATACACTGGTATTAGCCGGTGTTAAAAATGATGGAGCCCACTTGACACGAATGCATCATATTTTTTTTGATAAATATTTATTGTTTATAGCTCAATATTTAAGAGAAAAGACACATTTTTTTAAGACAAATTATGAAAGGAAATAATAAAGTCAAGTATTAATCAAATTCTAGATCATTTTTGAAAATAAAGAATTAATCGATGAATTTGATTAAAGTTTTGAAAAAATCTATCACTTATAGTATTAATCAATTTTGTATTTTTTTTTTTAAAAAATGATGATGACTGAAAACAAAATTATTAGATTAAAAATTAACAAATAATTGCAATATAATATCATAAATTTTTTTATTTAAAATTATAATCAAAATATTCAAAAATTAAAATGTTATGAATTAAAATATTATATATTAAATTAGTAAAATGTTACTATTACAACATTATTATCTCAAACAAGTTCTTTTATTTCAGATCAACATCCTATCTAATTTTATAATCTAAAATAATAATGAAATGCATTAAAATAAAAATAAAAATAAAAATCATTTTTGAAATCAATGACCAATCATAAGTTGCATCTCTAGAACCACCTTTTAAAAAATGACCAAGAAAAAAAAAAATCACAAAACCATTTCAAAACTAATCTAATACTGATTTTTTACCGCACCACCAAAATGTGATTACTCAGAACCACCTTTTAAAAAATGACCAAGAAAAAAAAAATCACAACCATTTCAAAACTAATGTGATTACTCGTGTTTGTTTGCCATGACACGAATGTGTTTAATTAAACGCACCCTCGCGGCGATCCATTGTTTGCCATGACACGAATGTGTTTAATTAAACGCGCCCTCGTTTTTATTCTGTGCTTGCTCCGCCGCGATCCGCAGTTTCGCTCCCCTTAAATGACAGAATTGCCTCTGAGGAGGGAAAAATTATTGCATACATACACCGCATGTAAAGATGCATGCGGTGCACGATCCTAACCAATCTACGTTCAGGATACAATCAAAGTTTTTTTTGGAAAAAAAAAGAAAACGAGTCCTCCATATATTGCCAAGGACTTGTTCTTTGTGATTTTTGTTGAGAGCTCGATTGCTCCCGCTTTCTTCATTTACATTCTATTGTTCTCTTACACTATCTTCTATCAATGTATTTTGTTTGATTGGCTTCCTCATTGTAGTTTGTGGTCTCTGACTCAGAAAGAATGCAATATATATTTGTTGATGACAGTCAAAATCTAGTTCATAGATTTGAGCAGGCAGTAATTTGCTTTTTTTTTTATATATGTGAATTTTTGTTTTTTTTGGGAAATCATCATAAGATAGACAAATCAGATCATGAACAGACAGTAAATGTACTGAACTTCAATTTCTCAACTCTATCTCTATCATTCTTACATTCCATGTACGCCGTAAATCTGTACAAATCCTTCACTAAACCCACCCCAACATATAAAGCAATCAAACAACTCTGTATCTCGAAAAAGAAGAAAAAAAATGCTTTTTTATTTTGCAGCAGTTTCAAATCCTCCTCTTCTTCTTCCCAAATGGAAAATCTTATAACTTTCCTACGTACTTTCATCTCTGAAGTGAAATCTCAAACAGATCCGACTCGGCTTCAATGCCGTCGTCCAAATACCCGTTGCTCTTCTTACTACTGCTACTGTAGTAGTTGTGGTCCTGTTTCTTACTTCTTTTTTCATTTTCAGTCCACTCTGCATCCGCACGACCTGCAGCAAGCTCGCCGCTTTCAATGGAGCCCGACAACGACCGCCCGCCGGAAGTAATCCGAATAAAGCAGGGATTTTGCGTTCTCGCAGCGTTTGCAGGCGCGTACTTGAATGGTGCTTGGCCCAGATTTACGAGAATCATGGCGTCTGCATCGGCTGCCAAGACGGGATACAGTGGACTGCTATATACCTCTGAGCTACAGCGTATGGCATGAACCAGCTGAGAATCAACGGTGAAGAAAACCTTCTTCTTCCTCGGCGCAAATCCGCAACCTATCACTCTGTTCACATCCGCCCACTCTGCTTTCTCCGATTCGAAAACCAGTTTTCTTCCTGTGATGAAATAATCCTGTCAGAAACTATTTCCTAAACTCGAAACTGTAATCAACTTTATAACTTACCATCAAGGTAAACGGAGCCGTTGGAATGGAAACCAATCGATCCCGGAAAAGTACCCGGCATGAACTGGTTCGACATTGATGCTCTGTTGGTTAGACCTAAGGAGACTGCGAGATCTCGATTTTCTTCTGTTCTGGAAGCGGGTTCTTGAGGATTAAATACCATGGGAGCTGAAGCGCTGATGGAATCCTCTCTGATAAGCTTTGATCGATCGGTTTCTCGTTCTTTCACCCGCTTACTTGAAGTTTCCTGAAGCTTTTTCAGTGGCTGGAGGTAGAGGATGGTGATTTCAAAATAGGCTTCTTGGGGAAAGGAGCTGCCGCCCAACGCAGGGCCGGGAAGAGGGAGGCTGGTTCTGACAAAGGAGAAGGATACCTCGTCGGAGGTTTTCTTCGGTGCAGCGTTGAGTCTCACTGTCTGCATGAACTCCGACGAACCGGAGGGCAGATCCCAGCCGCTCGCCGCCGCTTCACGCTGTATCCCTCCGTCGCATGCGGGGCAGAAAGCCCAAAGGGGACTGGAAGAAGGCCGGATGATGGAGGAGGAGAAGGCGAAGCGTGGCCAGCCACTCTCCGCCGCCTCAGAGATGAGCCGGGGGTGTTCTTTCCAGTTGAACGGAGAAGACGGAGTTTGGTGGTGGTGGTGGTGGTTAAGATGGTGGAAGCGGTGGCTATTCCATGCGCCGTTTACGGATTTGTAGGAAAGGGGGAATTTTGATTTAGCGGCGGTTTCGGGGATTTGGGGGAGGGAGGCTTGTGGGTTGATGAGCTGCCGCCGCCGCTGCCGGCGGTGGGGCTCGCGGTGGGA